CTTCTTTGTCCCTGCTTGTATCTAGTTGCGTCGTAACGAATTGCCGTTGTTGCTCCGAGCGTTATTCTTTGCACTTGCCATTCTCCTCCACATCGTCCGTTGCTTTCATATATATTTTGTTGCTGTTGCTCAAGTTTGATGTGGGGCAGTGAAAGAGAGGCCTGCGCAAGTTCTTGTATTGGCGATGTTTGCTCTTTACGTTTGTGTTTGGCTGCTCAGGTTCCGGTTTTTCAGCGCGTAGTTCTGGAGGCGCTCGAAGTGGACCGCCGCAGTGTCTACAACAGGCGCCGCGAGCAGCTTCACCTGGTCCTCAGCATTTTTAGGTTAGTATGAGCCACCCGATTTATTAGCTTCGCCTCTTCACCTTTTCCTTTTTCTCTGCATTGCAGCGTCTAATTCTGCATACTTTTAGCGGTACTGGACATACCTCTGAGAACATGCTTGCGTGTATGGCGCTTCAGGAGGCTTCCTGGTGTAGGCGATGTAACAGAAAAGACATTGGGAAGGCTTTTAATGAATGCGGTTAACGACCCTGAGACGACAAGCAAGCTATTAAGGATAGCGGAGACTGTGCCCTTCCGGGCTCCTGCTGGTGAGGGCCTCGACAGCCCTTCGGAAGAGAGACCAGGTACCAGCTGCCAGACCAACTGCCACCTCAGCAGCCAGGCAGTTTCTAGGAGCAGCGCAGAAGACCCCAGCTCGAGAAGCAGCGGCACCCAGAGCGGTCCCAGTCCTACAAGACATCCTTCCCCTGCTGTTCCACCACGGTCTCCAGCAGCCCAAGGGGAGCCTCTGAAGCCAAAGGACTTCTGCGATGCAGAAAGCATCAGCAGCACTGCTGCTGCTGCTGCTCTTCGGGAACTAGAAGAGGGGGACCCTGTATTGTCTGAGACGCCGATGGCCCGTGTGGTGTCTTTACAATACGAGAGGACGCAGCAACGATGGGTGTGCAAGTGGAGGGAGGGCTTGGGGACCGGCGGTCGGTGGCACCGTCGTTGTTTTTCTGTTGTCAAGTATGGAGAGGACGGGGCTCACACATTGGCTGCTGCCGTAGCCAAGAAACTCAGGGATAGACGAAACCAGGAAGTTAACGGATTGAAAAATGGGACTACGCTTAATTCAGACGTTTCACCACCTGCAGCAGACGCTATGTCTNGCGGTGGGGCATCGAAGAGGGGCCCTAAAGGAGCCATGCCGAGTGATGCACCCCCTCACAACCCACGGCTTGGTGGCAGTGCTTGCAGGGCTCGCAACAGGCGTACTGCGACAACAGCACGTGCAACTTCAGCTAGTGCAGGTGCTCCAAATCCCCATGTCTCCGACTCTTCGTATTCCTTTCCTCATATTGGCGAAAATAAACGGGACGCCGCCCTTGCAAATATTCCAGCCGACCCAAATCTTTCCACAGTGGTGGCATCAGCTGCTTACAGCGACGAAATGGAACGCCTTGCTCAGTTGTTACGGAAGGCGAGAAGCAATCCTTTGCTTGCGAAGTGGCTGGATGAGAGGGCACCCCCTCCGGGAGCGGCTGCCCTGCGGGCAGCAGCGGAATCAATCGTTCCTTACCTTGCACTTCAGGCGGAAGCGGACAAAGCGCCAGCGGGAACTTCGGTCGCCTTTCGCCAGCAGCCGCAGGCCCTTCACAGAAGGGGGAGAGTTACAGGGGCGAGGGAGGGCATGTGACTGGGCTTGCAACCAGGAGTATCGAGCTAGCTTGCTCCATTCGATTGAAGTTCACTCTTATTCAGAGTTGTTGTCAGGCGTTTCTACAGTGCGCTTGCGTTCACGGCGCACGGTATTCTTAATGGGATTGTACAGAGCCGCAAGTGTGCGGTGGTGGCTATTGGCTGACACATTGTTTTGTTCCCGTGCTCTTATCGCTTGTTTTGGCAGTGGGCATCATATATTATCTTAATGTAAAGAGGTTTTGTGTCGTCACGTTGAACAGCATTATCGCATGTGCGACGTAGTGGACAAAATGCTTTTTGTGTTGACTCTGGGTGGACCGGTGCTGCGCAGTGCCTTTGTGTGCTGGGGGCATACTTCTAAATGCAGCTTGCCTGGAAAGTACGTAAACTGTAAATACCTTCACATGCTATGTGGTCTTGCGCGTCTGCTCTGCGCCTGAATTGTCTTGACTTCACGGCTTACTAAACTCAACCGCGTACGCCATTTATTGCAAAGTGGCGTTGGATGGTGTGAGTGTGCGAATCAGTACACACAGCTTGAGCCCAGCAAGCTTCAAATTTTCCAAACATGGTCAACTTTCTGCTCTTTTCGTCAATTGGCAAGCGTGCGAAAATGAGACGCGCAGTGGAATAACCCAAGAATGCTCATAGAGCAAACACTGAGTATGCGGGAGGGGTCTCTTCTGCGCGATTTACAACCAATCAGTTTTACTTCTCCTTCTTGAGCCGCACTCAACCACATTTGCAGGCATGCGTTTTCTAGTTTGAGCTAAGGACTTAAAGAAATGCGTGGGGATGTTACGTGCAGTCAGCACGTTAACCGCATCACAGAGCATGTAGGGAGATAGTACACAAAGTCCACAGCAGCGATAGGAGCATAGATGGAACCCATTGACTACCCCCTCCAGTAAAGTTGGGGTCGTATCCTTTCTCAGGTGTAGGGTATTCTGGCGTGAATGGGCCTGGCACAGCGTCAAAGTAGCTCAAGGCGCGCCACATGTTAACTACGCCGTTCGTCCCAACGGCTCCTGCAGACAGAGTGGAAACATCAGGAGGCAAAAGCATGTNGGATATATCCCAATCTTTGGCGATTGCTGCCCCCACCAGCCAGGGCTTTGGATCCTGTTACAGAGTACATGATGGCTTGCTCCACTTTTCTACTTGCAGGCCCATTGCATTGCTGCCAGCCTAGAGGATTAGTTGCCTCGAAATAAGCCCACAGAGAGGCAGCCATTCCGGCAACTATCGGAGCAGCGAAGGATGTGCCGTCAACATATGTGTAGCCTGTAGCAACCAAGACGCCCAGTGGCAAACCTGTTCGGCTGTCTACAGGGTTGCTCAGGGTGGTCGAGTCAAAAGAATTAGCAGCGTGCAGGCTTCCACGAAATCTGGCAGGTCCTTATCCGTTGCGATTGCCACCAAATTGTAAGAAGAAAAAAACAAACAGCTGAATGTACTCACAGGAAGTGCATCGTTGGTTCCCTGAATTTGCTCTGTAGTTTGTCCCAGCGTATATCAAGGTCCCAGGGGCCGCAACATCAACGCCTTCGCTTCCATAGTTGGAGAAAGAAGCCCGGAAGCCAGCTACGTCGCTCGCCATGACATTCACTAGCCCGCGTAGTCGGAATGCTCCAGGAGTGAAACTGCAAAAGAGGGGCGTCGCAGTCAATACCCAACGCTTGACTCCTTTTTTCCTTGGCGACAATTGACAAAAACGACATCCCCATCAAGTCACTAAATCCACGTTTTCACGTGAACAGGTTTCTACTCATGTGTCAGCCTTCCATTCGGAAATTGTCATTAGGGACATACTAGCATCCTTCCTGCTCATCAATATTGCAGCCCGAATTCCCTGCCGCGGTGACTATCAAGTGGTCGTGCTTGAGAGCTCTCACNGCTCATCAATATTGCAGCCCGAATTCCCTGCCGCGGTGACTATCAAGTGGTCGTGCTTGAGAGCTCTCACAAAGGCTTCGTACTCCGCGGCGACAAACCTGTAAAAATACGTTTAAATGCCACTCTACAGAGATATTAATGGTACCACCGCCGGTGGAAAAGAAATCGTGGTGAGAGCTCTGTTATGCATATCTTGGTTCGATGTGAGAGTGGAGTGCATTTGGCGGCAGTCCCGCTGTATATGAGCTCCTCAATGGATATCTAAATAATTGTTTTAGTTTACCCTGGTCCGCCATATGAGTGGTTTGAAACCCGAGCCTTCATCTTGACCGCATAATCGAGAGCAGGAATAGTTGTAGACGTCCAAACTCCTCGCCGGCTCCCGACACGAAGGCACATTACCGTCGGATTGGAGAAAACTCCGCGGCCGCCCCTGCCGTCGTGAGCCCGTGCAGCTGCCACAGATGTGACCAGCGTGCCATGCCCCGTGTCGTCTGTGAAAGGGTGCCCATTGTCCTCTACAAAATTCTGGTAAGAACGAGGGAACGCAAACATTTAATGCGTATCTACAGACGTACTCTCCGCTACCGCCTCAAGACGCAATTAGGCAACATTTGAACGTAGCATACCCGCGTCCAACAGTGTTAACTGCATACATATCAAAGTAAGATGTACCACCAATTGAGTGGACTACAACGTGTGCACTAGCTCCTCAGTCTAAGTTGTTCTGCATAGGCACGAGATGAAGCCGGAGTTTTGCCGGTTCTTGCCTTCGCAACGCGCAGGAGAGCTTCTCAGCATCACGCGGAAGGAGCTGTCTGCGG